CCTCAAAAAAAAATCATGAAAATAGCCTATTTTTCGGCCTTACTAATGAGAATGTACCCTTAAACATTGGATAACACGGTTGACTCTTCCATTCCGGGACCACCATGATACCCATTGCTTTGTCTTGAATTATTTTATTCAATGTTCTCAAAATCATAGAAAATGGTGGAAAAGCATAGAAAAACCATTTTTTCCATGATATGGTAAACGAATCAATCACCCATGCATTTGGATTGTTTTCCCAAGAACAATATCGAGTACATTTTTTATTTCTTTCTGACGCGAACAAATCTATCTATATCTGGATATCCGAGAACATTAACTATTTTTCAAATGCAAATTCCGCGATCTCCCATTCTGTGTCTATATTTTTTATTCTTGAATGTCCATCCGCTATCACATTCTTTTCTGATGGAATATGTACTGCGAATAACCAAATATCTCTAGTTTCAGCCCATTTCCAAATTTCTTTTGCTAAGTGATTAAATTTTTGATATTTTACTCCTCCCATCTTATTGATGTATGAGATGGCGGTCGTGTTATCCACCTTTAGAAGAACATTAGAATTTCCTAGCTCTATTTCAAAATTTTTCAAAGCCAGTTGGATTGCTTTTAATTCTAGAAAATTTATATGCTGTTCTCTTTCTGTTTTATTCCAAAAGCCGTGAATTTTTTTACTACCAAGAACAGCCCCCCAACCAGTCATCGAAGCGTCCGTGTATATAGTCCAGTCAAAATTTGGACTTCTAATGTTACTAACGGATTGCTGAATGTTCCTCTTCCACCAGTTTAAATCGGTCCGTACTTGCTCTGATATTTCCATCTTTTGATCGTAATCGTTTTGGTTGTAAATCAGAGCTAATATCTTCTCCCTCTCTAAAGTCTTCAGATAGATCCAGCCATAGTTTACACCGGGGGAAGCCGCCACTAATGTACCTATTAAATTCGCGGACTCTCGTATCTTACACGAACGCATCTGCATAAACTTATCGATTAAACTACTCAATCTTCGTTTTTTATCGTTAGGTAAACAAACTGTATATGATTTTGAATCTATTTCGAATCCTAAAAATCTACAAGTTCGTGGATCTAATACGCTTTTCCTTATGTTTATAACAAATCCTAACGCATTTAACAACATTTGTGTATATTGTACATATCCTCGCCGTTTTTCCTATTATTAATATATCGTCTAAAAATATCACAGACGCGAATCCTTTATTCCTTAAGTGCCTCACAACGGGCCTCATTATTTTCGTGAAAATAAACGGACTTGAGGATAGATCAAACGGCAAACACGTAAACTCGTATAGTGTTCCTTCGAATTGGAATCTTAAATATTTTCTACTATCGTAATCCACTGCTACCAACATATATGCATCCTCTAAATCAATTGATGCCATGAAAAAACCCGGCAAAACTAACTTAACAGCTGTCCTCAAATCTTCCATCTTAAAATGTTCGATTTCGACGAATTCATTTAATTTCTTTAAGTTTAGAATAAACCTATAATCGCCATTTGGTTTTTGAACTAAAAAATATGAAGAGAGGAATTGTCCAGCGATCGGTTTACATGCTACTATTGCACCTTTTAGTAATAAGGATTCTATCGACTCTTTTAGGTCTGTCGATTCTTTAGCCGTTCTTGCCGGCTCCTTAAATATTACATTTTGTGTTACTTTAGTTTTGAACGGGATCTTGTATCCTTCTATGCAGGCTAAAATAAACCTATCCCTGGTAATCTTTTTCCAGTTATCTACATATCCTTTTAATCTACCCGCTATCTTACTTACTAACGGCTGCTCCTCGAATCCGACTTGTGATATGATTTGTTGCGTGACGAGCTTTGGTGACTCTGCTGGTGATGCTGATAAGGTCTCCTCTTGGTGGCGAGATAACGTTTCTGTTGATCGTAAAGTCTGTACCCCGCTTGGAGATTCCAATGTGACCTCCCCAACGAGGTTTTCCAGTTTAAATGTTTTTGTTGGCCAAGGTTTTGTTTTTTCGATCCGGGTTGAATCTTCAGAGACCTACTAACCTTCTCGATCACCCCAGCCTCTTTGATTTTTTCACCTAATTCCTTGCCAAAGAGAAAAGAATCTGGTTTCGTATTCTCTATAGCTGTTTTAAATCCCCTCGGTATTCCAGGAAGAATAAACGCTCTCCTGCAGATTGATTGTCGATAATGAAGGTCATTTAATAATCTTGCTGCGTCTGACAATCTCTCTATCACCATAAGTTCATCAATACCGTCTTCACTCGGTTCTAATATCTGAGACATAGCTAAACCTAGAGATGCTATTGCTGAACCGATTGCATTCTGATAATCAACGAAGTGCTTATCTCGTTTAACAGCGGGCTCCGCTAGTGCGTTTGCGACCTCTGGATTCAACTTCGGTGCTTTCATCAACTCTGATCTCCTATATTTGTTGATAAGTTTCTCTTTGTCCTCATTCGAGAGACCTTCTTTTAACAGTCCCTCCCAATGAGAGACTAGCGACGCATGCAACTTAACCTCAATCGCCTTTGATATTGTTGGGTCCTCTCCTAATAAATCCAGAATACTTTGATCCAAATCTGATTTCTCAGGTACCTCCGGCATAATCTCAGCCTCCTTAACTTGCTCATTAATATTTGCCGGCTGATTTTCCTTGTCGAACTCACGCTCTGTACTTTCTGTAAACAAATGTCAAATCTTGCAGTCTCTTGTATACATACCTGTATATTTACTTAAATTTGGATACTGAAAAATCTTCGCATTATATCTATCATGTTTTACCTCTCGTGTAAACTCGATATCATAAAAAAGTCTATCCTGTTTTACCTCTCGTGTAAACTCGATAGCATAACAAAATCTAATCTATCTTGCCTCTCGTGCAAGCTTGTTAGTATTGTCTTTCCAGTTTGTCTTACCTCTCGTGTAAGCTCACTGGTAAATTCTCTTTTTTTTTTTTTACCTGTTTGACCGCGTTCTGGGTTAACCTTTACACCCCGATCCAAGCGATCTTGATATTTTCTCAATTTCTTTCGCCATCTGGCCACATTTTCCTCGTCTATCTTTTCTCTCGACCTCTTCTTCGATTTTCCCATATCTACTATATTTGCAAACCTTCTAACACACTTTTTATGAATTATAATACGACAGTACGTGCAACATCAGGCGCACAACAAAATGTTATAAGCAAGATGGCCTTCGCGGGGGGCGGGAACTTTTTAGGTTAGACTCTGAACGTTGTGACATCGAGCGGCACGGAGTGGTACTACATAGTTGTAATCTCGAGAACGAGGCTTCGAAGTATAATTCATATCAAACCATAATCAAACAAAATTTCTCATACATTACTGCGAGAATGGAAAGTCTGTTATATACCTGCGAAAGAGTTATCCTAACGGACAAAACTGTGGCATACATCTGAAAGAAAATATGCTATTATTACACTTGATAAAAACAGTTTTGTTAACCTTTTCGCTCAGAAAGCGAGTGGTCCGTCGAAATACCGCCATTGATCCCGCACCAAAAGTGTACACATTATATGTGGACAATTTTTGGCGTTTAAAATATTATTTTATGCCCGAATAGCATGGACAACGCCACCTTGACATGTTATTGAACAAAAGGGATTGCCCCTTAAAATAAGGTAATTATAATTTCTTTGTAAACCGTTTTTCAATTATCTCTTTCATGCCAGTGGCATTATATGTATCAATATACTACCACTACAAATTATGTTTAAATATTCATTATTTGACAAAATCAGTGTTAACAACGCATATACACGTATATGGTTGTACAGGATAGTTTGGCGTAACTCTTACTATAAGGAATACTATAAATTACTTGGTAAATGCTGGCTGTAGACAGCGTTCGTCTATACGGATCGCTTTGCGTTTGCCGAGCATAGCCAGCGTTAGGAGAGAAAAGGTTAAATTTAAAAGAATTAATTATAAATATAATACGTTCTCTATTTTATA